AAAGGGATAGCACTTGTTCATGAAAAGCACCGACCTGCTTCCCCTCTGCTCCGCACTTGACAACCAGAGCACATGCGAACACAATTTCCTTTCATTGCCACTGTGACTTGTGAAAGAGCCTCATTCTTCCCGTGTCCTTAAGACACGGAGACTGCAGTCGTCCTGACTATTCTGAGTACAGAAATCTGGCTTTGGCTTAATCTCCAAGGAGGTTTATTTTAGCTTACCACTTCCTGTGGAACTAGGGGTTGTGATGTCTGTAACAAAGATTTTGACCTAGTAGAAGTGCTCATTGTGAAACTGGGCTCCTTGTTTAATGTGTAGTGGATTTCATTTTACTCAACTAACCCTAAGGCAAGTTGCTTTATATCTTTTAATAAGATCAAACTGTTACAAGAAAAATGTTTGGTTTTTCCCCCATTATTCTGGAGGGAAGACCTTAACTTTTTCCAAATACTTGCATTTTTTAAATAGATTTCATTGTTTATATTCACTGTGTATAGTACTATGTTACAGAAGGACATTGTCAGACAAGCATAAAACATACATTGTGCATGTCCCCCCTCACCATCCCTATTGTCCCTTCTCACCCTACCTCCTCCTCCTGATTGCCTTCTTCTCCTAGAGTTTCACCTCTTATTTTCTTAGCATGTATATATAAACAGTTTTACATATCTACATAAAATCTACCAACCAAAATATGAAGACATACTAATTTTTGGGTTTTTTCCCCCAAGGTTGGGTTTGTTTGCTAAACATGATTATCTCCAGTTACATCCATTTTCTTGAAAAAACAAACACACAAAAAAACCACTCTGTTCTTTATCATTGCTGGAAAAATGGTATTCCATACATATTCTATGTATTTTTAAGTTCTCTCTTTTGTTGTTAGACACCAAGATAGGTTCTGTAACTTGGCCATGTGAGTAGTGCTGCAGTGAACATTGTGTGCCTGATCTCAGGAAGTCCCTGATGTCTTGAATCTGGGTCATAAGGTGGATCTAATTTTATTTGCTGGGAAATCTCCATACTGATTCCCACAGTGGGTGAACAGCTATGGCGCCCCTAATGTGTGCCAGACAAAGAGGCTTTTGAGTAGTTTGGGAGAAGGGAAATGCAGAGGAACAAAATGCAATTAAGTGCCATCTAGGCACTAGCAAGCAAAATTCAGGCTGGCAGAGAGGAGGAATATAGTGCAGTAGAATCACTCCAATAATAAGACATGCCCTGGGCAGAGTGGACATGAGGACATGGACGCAGGGAGGCTGAAACAACAGTGGAAGTCACTGAATCTGGCTCAGCCAGGCAAAGGAGTTAATAACAACTATTTCATTTTCTAAAACTCTCCACATTTTATGCCTAGGAGGAATGCTAGTTCCTGAGCCAAGTGTGGCAGTGCACGTCAGTAATTCCTATTCTCAGGACACTGAGGAGAGGGAACTGCCAAGTTCCAGGTCAGCCTGGGCTACATGGATAGCAGGGCACCACCAAAACGAGTTCTTTTTGTATGGCCAATCGAGGTAAAGGATTTGGGGTCATTTGCATCTGATATCGGTTGGTTTGCCTTACTGCAGTCCACCAAGTGGGAGATAGGGTAGGAATAATCCCCAGGAGTCAGTCAATAGGCTCAGTATTTGACTGTCATCCTGAGTCCTGGACACAAGGTAAAGATATGTCCCTGAGGGGACACATCTCCTCCTGAGCTCCCTACAACTTATCTCTGACTTGAGGCTCTTGGGAAGTTTCTGGCCTTGGAATCACACCCCATTTCCTGATTTGCTGTCATTGAATTTTTCAGCATTACTGTATTTGGAAACATAAAAAGAGAAGTAAAGATTTTTACACTGTTACACTCAAATGTAACCATCTGTTTTGTGTCTTAATATACTTGTTTTGAAAAGCAGTGAACTTCTGCTGAAAATGCCTATTCTGTCTTTAACCCATTCTCAAAAATTCTGCTAATAGAAGAAACACTAAGATTCTAAGTCACTTTTTAAAATACAATATAACACCACCATAGGCAAAAACTAAAATCTACAATATAGAGCCAGTGAGATGGCTCGGCAGGCAAAGGTCCTTGCTGCCAAGCCTGAAACCTGAGTTTGATAGCTGGGTCCTGTATGGTGGAAGGAGAGACCACCTGATTCCCACACATTATCCTCTGCTCTCCACATGCATGCTGTAGTGTGTCCCGGTGTACGTGTGTGTGCATGCCTGTGTGCGTGTGCGTGTGTGTGTGTGCATGCATGTGTGTACCTGTAAAATGCCTAAAACAAAAGGTAGAAGTGAAGAGGAGAAGGAAGAAGGGGAAATAGGAAAGAGACGAGATGAGATATCCAGTCCTGCATCCACAGGGCAGGATGGGCTAATCTCTCCCAGGCTCCTGCCTCTGCTTCTACAGAATGGCTCTTAATTATGATTGTAATGGCCATGTAATGAAGCCTTCCTGGAGGTAAACCCAGGCTACTGAGGAAGATGTAGCACTCTTCCAGGCATCGTAGCCTTCAGAAGCAGACCAGAAAAGAGCCCCCATTTGAGATAACCTGGTTTGACTTGACCTCCAACTGGTGCAGTTAGAGATGGGTGGGCAACCAGTTGGCACTGTGGTGGCAAAAAGCTAAATTAAGTTCACTCTTTTTTGTTCCCCCAAGTGCTTGCAGAAGCCAATGGCTAGGGCGAGGGCATGTCCCAAGAAAGCTGCTAAGGTTTCTGTAGTCTGTGCAGTGGAGCTGCTGGATAGGCCACCACTCCTCTGGGAGATCTTCACACTTATGGGAGGAGTAGAAGCAGCTCTTAGGAGTGCTGCTTCTAGCTGTCAAGGTGGTGGATACGGTGGTAGAGGTGACATAGGGGGCCCTGTGTTAATAGTGGACATGATTGGGTGGGCAGCCCAGATTGATTAGGGTGCTCTGGGCTACAGCTCTTCAATTAGATTCACTTCTGGTGCTCATGGCTTTCTCTAAACTCTACTTTCCATATGGCATCGTTTTCCTTTTGCTTGAAGACATCGCCAGCATACTCAGAAGCACAGTCCTGTCAACTGCAGACTTCCTTATGTGTGTGTCCAAGTGTCGTTATTTAGCCCTTTTTTTTGAAGGATAGTTTATTTTTTTCTACCTACAGTCCTCAAACAAACACTGCTTTCTGTCATTAAAGTTGTATTTTCCCAGCATTGCCTGCCTTTCTACCATGTTAGCCACTAGATGCTCTGGTTATCAGTGCTTCCCAGATGAGCTATATGTCAACTTGCATCTGTGACTCTCTCCTGAGACAGGGTCCCCAAGGGTCAGGATTCAGCAGGAGCTCTTTTCTAACACAGTCCTGAGAGCTTCATAATGCTTTTAGGCCTGCAATTCTGAGTTACTCTCTAGACTGAGAACGTCATGAGGATGAGGACCATGTATGCTGACTTTGCCCTCAGCATCTAATGCTGGTGTCAGTTGTAGTGAATGGCAAAGAATGAAAGACTGGGTGCCCTATTACTCCTTTTCCATCTCTGCTCTTACTCCTTTTCTGCTCTCTCTCTTCCTACCACCTTGTGCTTTGTTTCCACAGTATAAGTAAAGTTCTGAACTTTGCCACAGTAATGGGTCTATAGTCTACTAGTCAGTTTTCTTAGTTCTCTACATTTTGGAAAATGGGTTTTAAACCTGAGCAAACAAGCCAAAACGGTTCAAACATTTGTTCATGGTGTGGCAAGAGCCATGAGTCCATCTGTGGGTGTGGGGTTAATGCTCTTATCTGTTGAAGAATATGATGTCTGACAAAGATCCGCAGATCAACAGCCACACAACTGGCTTTCTGTCCTACGTTGTCACGTCACTGCTCCTTCTCAAACCTGGGCTTCTAAGATGCCCCACATGGAAGCCAAAGATATAGCAGTGGTCCCCAAAGTTCAAACTTGACTTAGCAAGACACTTTTTACAGGGATGTCTTGAAATAAGAAAGATATGGTTCCTAACTCACTGCCTGGCTATAATTGGTGCTCACGAGTACTGTCTACTTCCCAGCCTCCTCCAGAGCTTCCTCGGGGTACCAAAAGCCCATTATATTTTTCTTGAAATTTCAGGGTCAAAGAGTGAAAAGGATTAGGTGTCAACAGCTGGGGCCATACAGGTCCTTTCCTCAGCTTCCTGAGCATCAGTCCCCTCCCTGGACCTGGCCTGTCAGATTGTCTGAGCATGAGGTGTTATAGAGGGTCATGACACTCCACTTTGAATGTGGAGCTCATTCTTTGTAAGGGCATCACACCAGCTGCTACCAGAGTCATCATCTGAAATCCCTTCCCAGAACCCTGGATCCTGCTCAGTCTTCACTCCCCACCCCCATTGCTTGAAAAGGAGTTCCAGACTTTGTGTAGGGACAGGAGACTTGAGCAGCTATTCTGAGCAGACAGGCAGGGGCAGGGCAGGATGGTGGTAGGCAACATGTTTGCCATAAGATGCTTAGCAGTACCTGGCCCCAGTTTGAGTTTGTATGGCAAGAACTAATCCAAGACATCCAGGTAACATTCATTACTGTTAGTTAGTGCTGATGTGCAAACATACAGGTAATAGAAAGTAGTCAAATATTCTCTTTCTTTCTGGACTAGAAAAACAAGCCCCCTTTAAAGCTGTAGGTTTGGCTCTGGGAAACATGGAGCTGCTGAGTCCCTGTTGAAAACTGTTTATGTCCTGTAGACACAGACTCCCTACTCCCTACAACAGCTTTCATTACAATCCTGGAAGCTGATTATGGAACAGCTTTGCCTGTAAGCATTCTAGAGGTGATTGGAATTGGTTTGAGTGAGCCCACGTGTCTGAGTCCACCAGGTGGTTTGAGATGCTTCTTACCTGGACACAGGTAAGCTGGACACAGCAAGGCTGTGCTTCCTGACCACTCTCAAGAAGTCTGCAGTCACATTCCAGGAAGCTGAGGTCCTCACAGATACAGTAGCTAGAAGTTGGTGGTGGCCGCTTGTGAGTTTAAAAAATTCCTGCTTAATTTCCCCTCTCTTTTAGGAGCATCTGAAGGCCTTTGATAATGAAGTTAATGCTTTCCTGGACAACATGTTTGGACCACGAGGTGAGTGGCCTGCTTGTCTCTGGGGTCCTGAAAACGGCAGCATCTGACCTTGTGGACCGTAAATGCCTTGCACAAGGGCCTCTTTCCCAGAATAGCAGAATCCATGTTTTTTCTGCCCCACCGTGTCCCCTGGAATGAGGGGCAAGTGCAATGTAAATTTTCCTTCAAGGTATCAGCTCTGAAGCCTGATGGTCCCTTTGCTTTCTCCATCACCTGCCAGCCTCTAGTCAAAGCCTGTCGCTCTCACTCATACGGATACAGCCACTCCAGACATCTTTTGACTCCTCAGATGTGTAAGCTTGTTTTATTTGCTGTTTCCCTGCTTTGCTTCTTCCTGCTGTCTTCCTCTCGCCCCTTCTGGTCAGCTCCTCCTATTGCAGACATAGCTGTGGGCTTTCTAGGGTGTCTTCCTCTCTACTGCACCTCATTACTCTAGTCTCCACATTTCTCTTCTGCACAGGCTTCCTAGAGGCTGCTTGTCTCTTGAGAACAGGAGCCATGACCCTGTTTACCATCCATCAGCACGGCATAAACAGCTCTGGGAACAGAGGACTGATATTTCTGACTAGCTGAAGTCTGGACAAATACTTTGCTTCACTTGCGCTTGGTCGTTTGACAAGCCTGTGGGAAATCCTTGGTTTCCATAAGCAGTTTCCTCAAGACTGTAAAGACAGGAAGACGGGCTGAGGTCTTCCCACTTCTCACAGCCTTTACCCAAACCTGGAGATTATTTGGACCATGCCCCAGTTTCCGCTGAGGCTCTGAAACCTGTTCTAAGTGAATGGTGACTTTTGTTGTTTTAATAGAAACTGTGCAGTTTGGCAGGGGTTTTTCCAGTCTTCTCCGTGAGGATCTTGTGTGATGGGCCAGCCATGTCTGTCTGTAACCTCCACACACCCTGCTTGTAGTTCTAGAAAAATGGGGAGGAGCTGGCCCAGAGTGGAGGGCATGGCCTCTTGCTTAGGCAGGACACCACAGGAGCTGTGAACTCTTGGAGCCCACAGCTTTCTGTTTCTCCCAGCAGAAAGTTAATCATTGATCTCTCTGAACTAAGTTCACACTAAACTTTGCTGTCAGTAGGTTAGTGGGAGCTAGAATGAATATAGACATGGGTCCAGTTGAGGAGAGGATTGCAGTTGTTACTGTGCTTCAGTAATTCTAGTGGATTTTCCCTTTGTAGCAGGGAGATTATAAAATTAAGTTTCACCACTGAATTGGGTTACTACAGTCACACCAAGAATCCTAAAGGTGACTGGCACTTACAGTGACTGCCATACCCAGTGACCTCAGAGGCATCCCTGGCTTTTTCTGATCTTGCACACACACTATCAGTAGCCTGTGGGATATGCCAGACACAGACAAAGAGTAACACTACTCAGGTATCAAAGAAACAACACAACAAATGCTCCCATGTTTTAGTTGCAGCAGTTACGATCACCTTTAACTGTGGCAGCCATAGACAGCAGCATGATAAACGCAGTAAAAAATTCAGGTGCTATGTTTACAGAGCATCCGCTGATGTAGTTTACATGAGCCTCCTCCTAACTCTACAGATATTAGTTACAAGTAAGACAGGAGAGGGGACTGGTTCCTCCTCTCCTCACAGAGCGCAGGCAGTGATTGCAGAGGGAAACCTAGCACGTGGGAACAGTCAGGGAGCAGCCAAGACACAAAGCTGTAAGCATGCATTCCCTAGGACCATGTGGCTTTGAAATGACTGAATCATATTCCCCCAGTTCTGAAGTCAAGGTTGGGCTCACTTGATTCCCTTGACATGATAAGAAGAACCCATCTGGTGTTGCTCTCCCAGGGTCAGATTGCTGGCAGTCTGGTGTTCCTTGGCCTCTAAATGCATCTCTGTCTTCACATACTATTCCTGTCTTCTTTTGTTCCTTCCTAATAAAGATAGCACTGAGGGTTTGGGCCCATCCTAATCCAATATGATGGAAAGGGAAGATGATCAGTGTGTGCTTTCTGCCCTCTGTGGCTCAGGTTCCCTAGGGAACCTCAGGAATGTCCATCTTGTATATATAGGAGGATTGCTTTTAGATATCTGTCAACATGTGTCAAGGCTTTACGCAGCGCCTGACATGGAGAAAACCCTCACAGTTAGCTACGGCACAGGAGCCTGAGCAAGAACCCAATGTGGTCGTGACCTTGTTGAGCAAATGAAACTATGATTATGAAAGGCAGTGAGAAATGGTTCCCTTCAGAAGGCAGAGTCTTCATGTGGCCATTAAAGGATGAGCAGTAAGGCACTAGTACATATGTCTGTGTCTGGAAGGCTGTCACTCACCTAGTACTCCATCTCCATCACTAAGGGGGGCTCTCTGCCTGTAGAATACTCCTTGGCACAGTGGCAGTGCTCACAGAGGCACTCACTCTCCTCATCGGTGTGTCTATAAGTGTGCTAAGAAAGGGTAGGACTAGACAGTGTGGGGCATACCTGGGAGGTGGACTGAGGCTGTGGGAGAACCAGCAAGGTCAAGAAAAGGAGAGTTTTGTGCTGTCTGAGTAGGTTAGAAACAGCATGCACATTTTGTGATTCCAGGCCAGTCTTGTTTAAGGAGACTTACAGGTCACTTCCAGGTTATTACCCAGTGTTATAGTGTGATCAGAGGCTGTCAGGTTTCACTCTCTGGAGGAGGGGCATCTGTGAGTCCCTGCTATTGACAATTCTAGTTCTGAGAGAGCTAAGGCTAAAGCCACAGTTTTGTATCATGCTAATCAGCCATTCCAGGGTTCTGCCTCTTAGTCCTCAGGGCCCCATGCTGACTGTTCTGGAAGGCCACCACTGTGGAACCTGGGTGTTGGGGATGATGATACAAAGCGCCCTCTTTCTTCTGATCTTCCCAGTGGGAGGGTCTCAGCCAGGGTTATGGACTGAGGTGGCCGATAGAACACAGATCCAGACCCTGCTGTCATTGTGTTGCCTTTTTCTCGGCTGTCTTTTCACCTGTAAGATGTGTTGAGTTAGAATGAATAAATGCAGTAATTAATGCAAAGTAACCAGCGGCTTCCTTCCACCTTTCTGTCAGTGCCAGCCATTTGTTCCTTGAAAGTTCCTTAAAGATTTAAATGTGTGTGTGCCTGTGTGAGCTTACATGCACTCTGTATGTAAGGAGCCTCAGACATCAGAAAAGGCATCGGATCCTCTGGAACTGGAGTCACCAGTGGTTGTGAGCAGCCATGTATGTGCTCAGCACTGAACCCAAGTACTCTGCAAGAGCAAATGCTATTAAACTCTGATCCCTCTCTCTAGCCCTTAAACATCAGGGGTTTTGTTGTTCTTGTTTCTGAAACAGACTCATTATGTAGACCAGGCTGTTCTGGAACTCAGAGATCTGCCTGCTCCTACCTTCGGGTGCTGGGATTAAAGATGTAGACCACCACTCCCAGCCCATGAAAGCTTTTGAATTTATTTTTATTACTTTTAATTGTTCATATATGAATATGTACACTTGAGTGTAGGTACCCATGGTGTTCATTCTTGTGAAGCCAGATGACTGCTGACTCATTTAAGTCCCCATGAAAACTTAACTGTGCAGCCCTGCTACACTTTAGTTTGCTTAACTCAGCATTGTGTGTGTGTGCGTGTGTGTGCGTGTGTGTGTGTGCGTGTGTGCGTGTGCGCGCGCGCGCGCACGCGTGCACATGTGCTACCCTTAGCTGATTTTGTTTCTGTGGCTTCTGTTACCCACAATCTACTATAGTCCAAAATAAAATTAATGGAAAATTCCAGAAGTAACAATATGTATGTTTAAAATTACATGCTGTTTTGAGTAGAATGATGAACTCTGTTCTGTCTGGAACTTTAATTATCCTTTTGTTCAATGTACCCATGATATATATACTACCCACCCCTTAGTTATTCTCTAGTCTTTTGGTTGTCAAGACTATGTAGTTGCACAGGGCTTGCATCAAACTAACACCTGATTTACTTAGTAGTGGCCTCGGGTGCAAGAGCAATGGTGTTGGCAATTTGGTTACTGCAAAGAAAATCATAACTTGCCTCCTTTAAGTGAAAAGGTGAAAGTTCCCAACTTCATAAGAAAAGTTCCAGTGCTGAGGTTGCCAAGATCTAGAGAAAGAACCAGGGTGTTTGTGAGTTTGTTCAGGGAAAAGCAACTTGAGTTGGTTATGCGAGTGCCTCTCAAATGGCAAGTGCTCAGTTAGAACAGGAAATCAGTGTTCACTGGGGACCGTGGAACCTCCCAGCTTGGATAAGGGCTCCCACTGCACAGACAAGGATGTATGCAAGTATTGCTAACTGCATGGGAGCTTGTTCCTCAGGCTTCTCACCATATGCTTCTCTTTCCAGATTCTCGAGTTCGAGGGTGGTTCCTGTTGGACTCTTACCTTCCAACCTTCATTCTTACCGTCATATATCTGCTCTCAATATGGCTGGGTAACAAATACATGAAGAACAGGCCTGCTCTTTCTCTCAGGGGAATCCTCACCTTCTATAACCTTGGGATCACCCTTCTTTCTGCATATATGCTGGTGGAGGTAAGTGTGAGAACCGGTCAGGTGCAGCCTTCCAGAACTGTGAAAGGTGCAGTTGGCAGGTGTCATTCTGTAAGGCCCCAGAAAGCTGTTCTTGCATTGATACCTGCTCCTCCCAAAGCGTCTAAAGCCCTTGTTTCTGACATGAATGTGGGCCTGTTTCTGTATCCTTAGACAAATTAAACCTAGAGCCATGATTTAGTGTGAGGGCCTTTTGAAGATCGTGCTCTACACGTCTCTTCTTTTATACACCTTATGATCCTGATCTAACTGTGTTAAATGATTGACATGCAGTTAGTGTACAGAGATCCAGACACCCCCTTGGAGGGTCTTGCCCAGTCTGGACCATGCTGGCAAGCCCGTGTTGACACTAGTTGACTCTAGCTGCCTACCAGGCCTTCAACTCCACCCTTTAAAGCACCGAACCTCAGGAAGAAGCAATGATTGCTTTGTTTAATCATACTGCAAGGAGGAATCTAAAGTATTCAACTTGCTCTAGCAAAAGTAACAGAGTAAAAGGAACAAAAAATAATCATTTTAAAGGAAAAATTAGGGTAAAACCATTTACAAAGGTTATAAATGGTTACTAATGACAAAGCAGGACTTTTCTACTGACCTTAAAATTTAAAAGGCAGTAAATCCTTATCTTAAAATGCTGCTTGCTCACTCTGCTTGCTCACTCTGACTTTATTTTGTGTATTATCTAGTATGCACCATTTTAATAATGGCCACTAGCTGCTGCCATAGTGACCCAAATAAGACACTGATGGGAAGGGTTTGGGATGAGGAAAGCCATGTAAACCTTCAGCATCAAATCACAGGTGACCACTAAGTTTTCTGACACTGAAAAGACAGTTTCAGGTTCTTCGATAAGGTGTGCTTAGCATGCTAAATGTGAACTGGCCAGATACAGCATGGGTTTAGTTTCTTTTTTCTTGAGACAGGCTTTCTCTATGTAGCTCTGACTGTCCTGAAACTCACTATTAGAGCAATTTGGTCTTGAACTCAAAGATTCATCCACCTCCTGAGTGCTGGGATTAAAGGTATGTGTCATCAGTGCCCAGTAGATGACTTAGTTTCTTTACATGGCTGGAAGAGACCTTCCTTGATGAGGAACAAGCCTGGAAGCTGTGTCCCAGGAGGCTGTGCACACAGCTTCGCAGGCTGCAGCTGCAGGTAGCTTGGGTTAGGTGATAAGGCTGGGCTTCAGAGTTATTCAGCCCCCACTCCCGCCCCCAGCAGCGTCATGTCCATCTTATTGACAACCAGGTTTAATTTCCTTCAGTACAAAGGTTAGATGGCTTTGGTACCCAGCCCAGCTCGAGAATTGTGAGTAGCCCAGGAGGCAGTTTCCTAAGTCTTGCTGCTTAATTCTGCTATGCAGTTGCCAAGTGTTTAGATAGGTACCATGGGATTGGTGACAGCCCTGGGCAAACAGAATATACCCTGTTCACTAAGGGGTTACCCCATGGCTGTACTGTGTATGGAAAAGATATACTTAACCCTTCAACTACAGCTTTTATCCTGAAAATGTTTTAAATATTTGTGTGCAACATAGACTTCTTGGTCTGAAAACTGCACCAACACACACACACACACACACACACACACACACACACACACACACACTTATCCTTCCATCCTTTAAGGCATCCTGGGTCTCCAGCCTGCCACAAGTAGGCAGCTTGGGACAGGAGTTTAAATACAGTTCAGGAGGCTACTGGGACCTGATTCAAAATAGAGTGCATTGGAAAATCCCTGTGTTTCTGCTTTCACAGGACTCATTTGTCCTCAGAACCTTCAGCTATGATTACATCACTCGAAGGTGATTTTCTTAGATGAGAAATATACCAACTACATCAGAACTGTGAAGAAGAGACCCAGGGTTCCAAACATTAGTTTCTTAGTCATTAACATTGTTAAGGCAGAAGAAAATTCTAGGCCTTTACCTGGAAAACTTTATATTCTAGGATTTTAAGTTGTTGCAGGGAGAGAGCTGCTTTTGTAGAATTTTTCAATGAAGAATTTAATAGGTTTGTTTTCTCATGTTGGAGAAAGACCAGGAAAGAATGAGTTAGGAACTCTGAGTTCTAGTGACATGCCTACCACTCCTTAGCTGTGCAACCCTGAGCAAATCACCTCACATCGGGTATTGCTCAGGGATCACTGCTTCCTGAGGATGGGACAAGGATGGATAGATAATGGGCTTTTTTTTTTTTTAAGGGCAGCTTTTTCATTAAAGACTAATTGGGAAGGGAGGTGTCAGCCACACAATTTGATTGTCAAGCAGCACAGATGGTGAAGAACATGTTTTAAGAACTTTCTGACCCCTTATAGCTGAAAATTGTAATCTACATTTCATAAATGTATTGAAGCTGAATATATTTTACTGTAGTTTACTAACAGTTGTTTATAATTCTGTGTTGTAAGATAGCTAAATAATTCATACTATATTTATAGGTGCTCTTATCTTACATTTGGGATCTGAGTGATTAGAAGTATGTGAAGGGATAGAAGCCCTGGCTGATGTGCAGCTGCAGGAGCTTGCTCTTCACTGGTGCTTGAAGACAACCGGGTCAGATTCTGGGGCACTTCCGCCCTAATGAGTGGAAGCTTGTGGGACATGTTCAGTGCCAGCCATCACATTCTTGTGTTGATTTCTTTCCTTTCCTCTGTGCTTTGGCAGCTCATCCTGTCCAGCTGGGAAGGAGGCTACAACTTGCAATGTCAGAACCTTGACAGTGCAGGAGAAGGTGACATCCGGGTGAGCCCTGAGAAGTGTCTCCATCCCCTCTACAGTTGAATCTGGGATTACACTGAAGAGCTTTGGGGTCTGATGGAAAGACCTGTCCTAGGAAAGGCTGGGTGGAGGGCTTACTGAACCATACGCACCCTGCCTCTACCCGGTGCAGTGAGAATGGCCTCGCAGCCATCTGCTGTTTCAGGACATATTTAAGTGAACACCAGCACTTGCAGACTTTGTTTATCAGGAATGTCTTTGTGTGTACTTTTTAAAGAGAAACAGCAGCAGGAGAAATAGGAAGCTGGTGGGCGGGCGGGCAGGGATAGTATGGAAGCTGTACTGCTCCCAGTGCACACCTTGTTTGACTTTACATACATTGTAAAACAAAATTAGGTTTTAAAAGGAAACAAGGCAAATTTCTTCCCCCAAACATTAGAAGCAAAGGTAAATGAACTCACATACATAGGAAGGTACCCATCCGAAATTACAACTAGCGCATAGCCGTGGGGGCGGGGGGTGAGGGGGGCACAGATGACAGCCATGGCAGGGGGAGATAGATAGCCATGTGGGCAGATAGCGGGGGGGGGGGCAGCATCTTAACCCAATTCAGAATTCTTTGTTGCTATTGCTTATTGTTTAAGATGCATTGCTGCTTTTAGACAGCCATAGGACACTGAGGGATAAAGTATTTAATGAACTAACATCATTAGTAACTAGCATTTTTAAAAGGTATCTATTTTTTAAAGTAGTAAAAGTTAAACCTAGTAATCATATATGCAAATTGGAAGTGTCATAATTAACCTCGTGAAAGAGGCCACATTTCATATCTTTTATCTGTGACAGCCCAGGGCACTGAGTATGACTTTACTCAGTTGCTGTCTACCAGAAGGCATGAGGATTCTTAGGGGCACAGCCAGTTCCAGGCTTGGGCCAGGGAGTGTATTTAAGATGACTCCATCCCCTCAGCAGAGGAGCTACACATGGCTATTGGGGTCACACATGGTAATAGGAACTTCCGTGAAAGACTCCCTCTCATTGGCTATCGAGGAATTCGGGCATCAGAAACAACACTGCCTGCGATGAGCTGGAACACACTGAGTCCAGGTTTTAAAAGGATGAAAAGGAGATTACATCTTAAAAAGAAAACAAGTCTCACATTGCCTTTTAAAGGCTGATACAACACCAAGTCATTGAGAAAAAACTTAAGACAAATCATTAAACATACATGGTGTCTTTTTCCAAATACACGAGGAGAAAAACCTCTCTATGGGAGAAAAATATGTAAGTCACCAAAGAATCAGAACATCACCTTGCATCTCCCAGAGACACGATGCATCCCTTGTAAAACTGTCCATCACGTGAACAAGAGAGCATCCAACTCCAGTGATGGGAAACACATAGTGGTTTCGTGTCACACACTTTCAGAGCTCTGGGTATAGAGGTATAGTTAAGGCAGTTCTGAGAAAAAAACTAGGCAATTGGGTAAAGTTCCTGAGAGAAGATGGCTGCTCAGATGAGAATTAGTGAGGGATGGCTAAAATGTGCCAGATTTGAGGCAGGAAAAGTGTTCCATGTAGGTGGGAGGGAGATTCAGTACCCTCACCGGCTAACGAGACCACGTTTAGGGTTCACAAAGCCCTGGAGGTAGTGGAAGGTCCTGACCTTAGGTGGGGAATAGTGAACAGTAGCCTGTGGGTGTGGGGGAGTAACTTGATTGGATGCATGTCTGGGAAAGGTGCCCCATCTTTCAGTAGAGAGGGGTGGACTGCATGGAATAGGAAGAAACTGGAGGGAAAGCTAGCAGATAAGCAGCACTGTGTAGTCCGAGGGAAGTGGGGGTGGGAGGCAGAATGCTGCGCACAGGGCAGAGCTGGGGTTCACGGGGTACTCTGTCACCCTTTCTCCCTCTTGAACTTGTAGGTAGCCAAGGTCTTGTGGTGGTACTACTTCTCCAAACTAGTGGAGTTCCTTGACACGATTTTCTTTGTTCTTCGAAAAAAGACAAGTCAAATCACCTTTCTTCATGTCTATCACCACGCCTCGATGTTTAACATCTGGTGGTGTGTTCTGAACTGGATACCTTGTGGTCAGAGTAAGTCCTTTTGGTAACTGTTGGTTCTGAGAAATGAGTCTCACAAGAACACGAGTGCACCTCTTACCATCAGTATGTGCAGATTAGGAGAGATGGGTGTCCCTAAAGTAGTGTCCTAGTCACTACAGGAAGCACATTTGCTGGTGGCTTTTTGGTTTCTGGATTTTTATGTTGAAAAACGCCGAGCAAGAGTTTAAACATATACACATACATACATACATACATACATATATTTTCTTTGCCATACACCAATTGCCAGACGGTCAGAGAGGTGCAGGCCTCAGCCAGAGCCACCTGATTCCATAGAAGGTGGCTCTGGTCACCTGAGGCTGCACCTGCCACAGCCACCACCTCACTGTGAAGCACAGCAATTATTTCAGCTCTTTGGGATTTCTTACCTTACACTCTGAAAAACTAATAGCTCTCTGCACCAAAGAAAATAGCTTTCACCTTTAAAAATGAGAACTATTGTAAGAAATAAATTTTAAGCTGGATGTGGTGGTTCATACCCTATAGTCCTAGCACTTAGCAGGCTGGGGTAGGAGGAGCTATAGCATGGCAGGACCCTGTTTGTGCACTTGCACACATGATACATGTAATACAATAAACTAGTGTGCTCATAGATACCATATACTTTGTATAGAGCAACAGCTCCATGAGGTTGTATTGGCCCTGGCTTTACCTGGAACACTGTGGTGTCTTGTTTTAACCCTACTTTACTTTCCTTTTTAAATTTTATGTTATGTACACTAGTGTTTTGCCTTGGGTGTTGGGTCCTGTGGAATTGGAGTTACAGACAACTGTGAGCTGCCATGTGGGTGCTGGGAATTGAACCTGGGTCCTCTGGAAAGCAGTGTTCTTAACCACTGAGCCATCTCTTCAGCCTCCTTACCCCTGTATTTTACTTCACTTTAAGCAGCTAATGATATCTCCCTATGTTGACTGCACAGCCCATAGGGAGTGGTGTAGAGTGCTCACTTGTGACTAAAGGGAACAGTACTTTTATTTAAATAATTATGTTCTCATGATTTTGAAAATGCTCTATAAAAAAAGTAGATGGGACAAAACAAGAAAAAATGATTTTAGAGGGCCAAGTATATAGCTCACCAATGGAGCACTAGCATGTACAAGGACAATCCATCACCAGTACCACACACACACACACAGTCAAATTGAGTGGTGGCTTTAAACATTTTTAAATGGGTGTGGTGGCACATGCCTGTATTTTTCTTTAGGAGTGGGGTCTTGTATCAACAATAGAAACTGCCACAGATACGTGGGATGCAGATGCCCCTTGACATACCAAAGAGTCAAATCTGGTAAAGAACCCTCTGTGGATTGAAAACACCATAATGTAAAACCACATATGACATGCTTAGTCCACCATCATAGCCGAAGTGCAGGGTACAAACCAAGTGGCCGCATGTCCTGGTTGCAGTATAGAATGAGCTGCAGTCATTTCCATCACCCACCATCCAGAGAGAGTACTAGACCACTGACAATACAAGTCATCACTCAAGGCTCCAATTACAGTTTCTACAAAAAGTCTAATTTTGGTCCTGTCGTTAAGTTGAAAAATCATAGAAGAGTCGTCATTAGGTTGCATGCCATTCCTGGCTGTCAATGTACAAGTGAAAATTTCAATGCAAGGAATGGAAGTTCGCAGAAGACGGATGGCCTTTACACTCACTCTGGGTCTCTAGGTGCTAAGGAAGATTAGTGAATGTCATAGGAGCAGGTTTTTGAGGATTTTTTTCAGTTTAACAGTGTCACTGGGCACTTAAAATTTACAATGCACTATTCATAGATGGTCCTGTGAATATATGTGTGCCATATCTCCAAGATGATCACAAAAATTATAAGTACAGAGCTACTCAGAAATGAGAACCCAGATGGCAAATAAATATCACTCATCTTGCACTGCTGAGTATTCCCAAAGTGTTGGTTTCCATAGAAACCCAAGCATCATAGTTCATCCTGGCCAGTATTTGCTGAGAACTTACTGTATGCATCACACTGTTCCTTTTGCTTTCCAGTTATCTAGGTTACTAATTAATGTAGGGTGAGAAATGGGGGCTAAATAATTTAAATTGACTGAGAAGCAGTAAGCAGAGCTCTTTAGTTCATACAGCAGGACAGTCTCTCAATCCCACCACAGCTTTGAGCAGATTCAAAGTGAGAAAATAGCTTACATAAGCATAGTCAAGACGGCATAACAAACCACTAGGCAAGTGCTGTGCCAATCCTCCAGCCAGAGGAGGCTCTGTCACCAACATGGCTTAATCAAGGTTTAAACAAAATAGGGTCAATCCTCCTTTAGTGGGAATCTTCAGCCAGACCCAAGTTCACCTTTTTCTGCCTCCCTGATCAGCTGGTAAGAATAACAGTGAGCCCTTTGCAGATACAGAGTGGCTGCTTTGGTTGGCTGGACATCTCTCCAGTTTACACCTCTGTCTAGGAGGTTATACTGAATCCTGGAATGACGACAGCTATCGGGCTCTCTCCATGTGAATGCTGTTGTATGATTGCCTACACGCCTGTTAGCACTTTTCAGTCAGGATGCAGAGACCATCACATATCGAGGAAGGACGAGCACCTCACGTTCTGGAGTACTAACTCACATACTCCACTGTCCTAGGCTTCTTTGGACCAACCCTGAACAGTTTTATTCACATTCTCATGTACTCCTACTATGGACTCTCTGTGTTCCCGTCCATGCACAAGTACCTTTGGTGGAAGAAATACCTCACACAGGCTCAGCTGGTATGTCCTTCTTTTTTTGCTTCTCCATGTAGTTCACAGACAGGGAAGGAATAGGCCATTCAGGCTCCGTGACTAGGCTGCCTTTTATCTTAACCTGTCCTTGAGGAATCATACTTCAGCATTATAGTGTCTTTTGTGTTTATTACAATTAGCTTCTAAGTGGACATTTTCTGATCTGGAATATACATGAACACTTTTAAGTTAATGTGCAAATTAGATCATTTCGATAAAAGTGATCTAACTGCTACTTTTCCATGAGAAAATGGACAAATGTATATACTTACAAGATTTCAAATAAAGTCTCTGGCAGAATAGTAGAGTATTGAGGCCTTTTTCTTGATTTGCTTCTGTAGGATATAGCCAGGGACAGTAGCCGTGTGTAGATAGGGGCCCACCTCCCATGGGACCTGTACTCACCTGCAGCCCTTCTGCCTTCCAGGTGCAGTTCGTGCTCACCATCACACACACTCTCAGTGCCGTGGTCAAGCCCTGCGGCTTCCCCTTTGGCTGTCTCATCTTCCAGTCTTCCTATATGATGACATTGGTTATCCTGTTCTTAAACTTCTATGTTCAGGTATGTAGGATGCACATGTTCAGGCCTAAGTGACGAGCTGCCCAGTGCACAGTTATGTTTAAGATAGTGGTATGCAAAGGAAGAAGTAAAGGGTGCTGTCCTAACCCTAACCCCACATTCTCCTCCAAGAACAGCCAGCTAGCAGTCCAGTTGGCCTTTGCTGAGAACTTTTGCTGAGGGACTGAGTTACAATTACACCTACATGTGGACTTGCCCCATGCTGCATCCAAATCTGTTGTCAGAAAGCTGAACAGGTATAGTCACAGAGCCCGGAAGACTGAGTAGAGCAAAGCTTGGGAGCAATCGTATGTGGTGTTTAATAATGAATTCAGGAAGCCTCCATCAGCCGCTCTGAGACACATGGGAGGCAGTGTTCCTTTGGGGAAACTCCTGTAAGTCAAACCCAGCATGGACAGGGCATGCTGACTCGATCTTTGTCAAGTGACATTTCCTTTTCAATTAACAATTTAAATGAAAGAACCCTACAAAGTGACTTTTAAGAACCCATGCAGGCTGCTGCAGCAAAGGCCTCACTCAGGTGGTTGTGAATTTTAAATGACAGGGCTAGGGAAATGGAAAGGCTGCTTCAGACAGAAAACAAAAACCTTAATTTATATTCAAATAGTACTTCTGAAATTCTAGTCAACTCTGTTTTCTCCTCCAGACAATTGCTCTCATTTTTTAGTTTTTGTTCACTGGTGGTTGTATGTGAAGGACCACTGTGGGAACTGGGCCTTTGACAGCTTTTCAGAGTGTTTCTGAATTGGACTGGTAACCAGTCCCTTTCCCTCGAGGATGTCTAAAGACAGACACATTGGTGGAACCAAAAAGATCTACACATGCGCACCAGAGCTCAAAAGGGATGACATGGATGGGCTTACGGCAGCCCAGCAGTGCTAGGCAATGGCCACACAAACCATCTCCACAAACTGGTCCAGACTGAATTTTAGTTCTGACTTTACAACATTCCAATTTTGGCCCTTGTTAGTGCCATCATTGTTTTTTAAAAAGTAAAAATGCTGTTATCCCAGCACTGGAAAGGTAGAGAAGATCAGGAGTTCAAGGTGATTGTGGGGTACATAGCAAGTTGGAGGCCAGCCTGGGCTGAATGAGACCTTGTCTTAGTCAGTCAATCAATATGACAGATGATGTATTCCATCAGAATGATGATGTAAGGCTGAGTGGAGTTCTGTGATAGATGACATAATTAATATCCATCAGACCCGCTTTCCATCTTCATTACTAAAGAGAACTATTAAAACCCTGTCAGAACCAGGGAATATTGTAATTACTATCTCTAAATACAAAGTAAAATAATGACTCCCTTTATCTTGAATTTTAAAGGAACTTATTTTTTTTTTTCAGGGGAATACCTAGTGTAAGATGCTTTGAATGCTAAGCAAAGTATGATATAATGCAGATAACATGGAATAACCTACATTTACATTCATGTATTTACCTTGGTTCTTACCTGAGCTTTATAGCAAGAGGCTTAAAAACAAACAAATTCTTACTAGACGACCCAGTGCCAAGGACAGTTGTGAGGTGCTTTAACTGCATGCTATGTCAGAAGGGTAGAGATTGGCTTATTAAAACGTCTCCTCTGCACTCTGACAGACATACAGAAGAAAGCCAGCAGAGAAAAGGATGCAAGAGCAGTCTGCAGGGAAAGAGGTGAAGAATGGCTTGCCCAAAGCCCACTTCCTCGCAGCCAACGGTGTGACAAACAAGAAGGTGCAATAAAGAAAGTGATGGGAAGCGAATGAAAAGTGCAGCCGCCAGCAGATGAGCTTCTTTTAAAGCAAAGACTGAATTGAAAGTTGTGTTTTAGCATAAACTAATTCCTTTTGAGTTTGTAAATCATTTGTACCCAGAATGTATTATAATGTATTGCTATTAGGTTACTCTATTAACTGAAGCGATGCTGACCTCTACAAACCTCAGAACAGGTGCAGCAGCCCGTCCCTCCTGGGCTCTTCGTAATGCCTTATTCGCACAGAAAACCAGGAGACACGGGCTTTGTTTTTATGGCAAGTCTTCAGAGTTAATTTTATTACATTAAATGTGTAAAATAAAATGTTGATTGTATTGTAGATGCCAGGGTCTGCTCTAGTCCATGTCAAGCAATAATTGTCAGCGCATAAATCGATGGCCAGCCCTCTTGCTCCAGAAGGCATCAACCCTAGGCAGTGTTCAAAAGGGGTCCCTAACAAGACAGAATCTAGCATCACATCTCCCTCGCTCAAGCCAGGGAGTCTGCTACAGTTTTTAACCACTCTGATTCTCAATTCAGTGATGTTGTGATGAGATTGGTTCATCTTCAACACAGTTTGAAGAGAAGTCATTCTGTGAACAAACAGCTTCTTGAGCTGGGTATGGTGTCATATACCTGTGATTTTACGTGTTAAGACAGCTTGGTCTACATGGGTGCAAGAAGACCCTGTCTCAACCAGAAAAAAAAAAGTTTCTTGCCAAATTGTCATAACTCGGGGGCTTTGGGCAGGAGTGGTCTCTGTTTCAATTGGCTTCCTTACTCATACATTTCTGCTTACCTCTCTTGCTAGTCTGGATTCAGAGTTATGTCTCCATATCAAAAACTTTGTCTACATAGAGCTGCCTTGCCTTTTCTGAACAAAGGCTGGAGTCCAAGTGCAGTTCTCCTTGGCACAGAAATGCACCTGGAATACTTAATAAATCATAATCAACAGAGGCCCAGGGGCAACAGGCCTCACATTTGTCAACTGTTGCTTCTGAGCCGACTCATGAATTTTATCCCAAGTAGTTGCTAGCAATCTTCATAAGTTTAAGTTTCAGAAAACAGAAAAGGGTGTTGTCATTGGAAAGATCCCATGGGCTGGGAATTAGCCATCCTGAGAGTGTGTCTGGCCCAAGCAGCATACACTTTCCATGCTCAGAACCGTGGTCTCCCGGTCTCCCCTGAGAAGCTAGTTCAGAGGCAGACCGAGTCCCTGGCCACTGCCTTCCCACCACAGTTAAAAACTGTACCAAGCATGAAACAGTGCATTTTCCAAAACATGACTGGCTAACTTTGACCATTCCCCACCCCACCCCCATCGTAGCAAGTGTGTACTGGGGTCATGGTTCTGGCATCCAGCCACACGGTAGGCTTTTCTTTGGTGCCAACAATAGTTCCTGCCCACCCTTGTCTTTCCTTTCTGGGCAAGCTCCCATTTTAATTTTTCCCTGTTTAAAAAAAAATGTACTGACTTTTTAAACTCGTAAGTATACCGCGCTTCTCAGTGGGAGTCCCTGTGTCCTGTGCCATCCCTTACTGTCATTCCTGTTGGACAGACTCTTCCTGTCTGCTGACCACCTAACACTCAATGCATTTTCTCAAACTGGTCTGCTCCCAGGTGCTTAACCACCATCTCTAGTGACTTGGACTCAAGTTAGTGTGTTATTCTTTCCCAAGAATTCATTTCATGGGTTAGCTCTGAGTATGTTCCCGTTCTTCTGTGCTGAGACACAAGTCAGCCAAAGGAGCAAACTCCTTGGTGAAACTGGAGTTCAGTTTTTGTTCTCAAACATGATCTGAAGTCTGTTACTGAAGTGAATCCTGGGTAAAAATGAGACTGAAGAGGCATTACTGGTCCTTGCACCCACGCTACTCTCACTTGCCAGTGCAGCACACCTGCAGTTGGGATGTTTGCACAACTTCACATCTGTGAAGCACAGAGGATGTCGTTTCCGTATAGCAGTTCATTAACGGCAGCTCGAAGAACCAGCCAGCTTTAAACCTCCCAGAGCAAAGCTCAGTACAACACTAAGCCTTAAACCACTCAAGGGCCAACAAGACATGCAGAGCTATGAAACCTGAGCTGCAAAAATGGGATCTGGGAAATACTTTAACCCATTTATTCTTACTGTGAATTTTCTAAACTAGAAGTATAAAAAATGTCTATCTCTATAATCTGATAAAACAGTTTACCAAGTAAATTCCCTTTTATTCATGAGAACAAAAGTACTTGGGTACTATAAAACCTTAACTTCCCCAGCTTTTAAAATAAAATGGAATGTTTGCTGAATGTAATTAAGCATAGAAAATGTCAACCCATCAGAATTATATTTATACATATTGGTGAATAAGTTCCTGTCTTCCCATATCAGAGAATTATTATTTTTTTACCAAAATAGCACTTTGTAAGAAACCATTCTAGTCCTTCCCAACATTCCTGTGTCATTTAAGAACATTAGTAGAGGTCACTTCTCTGGAAATTGAGGATTTTACATTGTGTTTTCCTTTGGAAGTGCTGCATCTAAAGAACACAGTATCATGACTGGGGTGAAAGGGAGGCAGAAGCCATTTTTCTTTTAGATAAAAAGCATTCTGTGTGATTGTTGTATAATAAATTGATTTTTATGCTAAAAACACGTTGCCCTTTTTCTTATCTGGCTCAAAGAAGGTAAAATGTGGGCCTGTGCGGTATTCCAAGTGGTCTATTATTCAGGGATTATTTTTACCAATAAAGTGAGATTTTAGTGATTAATCTTAAATTCTTAATTCATTTTAACAAGCAGTGTTATGTGACATTGTTAATGCAGAATTTATATAATAAATGAAATAGGAAGGCTTGTGTTTGATATGAAAGAGAAACTCAAAAGGAAGCTGGGAATCAAACAGAAATAGTGAAAACAAGTTAAATAAAAAAATCTTGTGTAAAGCTTCGTCAATAGCATAGATAAAGGGGAGAATAAAAGAGATGGACTTGAAGACAAGGTTGGGGTTTGTGACATTCCAATAAAGACAGAGATTAGTTGGTCAAGAGACCTGGACAGTACTTGTATGACACACAGGACACTCTGCAACTACCACACCATGGGATTAAAGAAAGTGAATTCCCTACTAAAGGAATAACAAACATTTTAAACAAAGCCACAGCAGAAATTTCCTTAAATTAGGCAAAAAGACAGAAAGGAAGAAAGAAAGAAGGAAAGAAAAGAGAAGAGCCTAGCCTATGTAGATATTGAAGGCATTTAGAACAGAAACAGACAAGACCTCTTCATGTCATAATTAACTCACTAAATGCTGAGAACAAGATAGCATAGTGACATTGACCAGAGAGAAGCAACAACTCACGTGACAGAGGCAGGCCTATGAGAGTAACCACAGACTCTCAACAGAAACTAGGAAAGCTGCAGTGCTCTGGACAGCACTTGGGATGATGCGGGAGCAGGGAGGCGCTTGGAACAATGCATTGTAAGTTTTGAAAGACAACTGCCAATATAGACTTTTATACCCAGCAAAGCTATCAGTCATAATTGGAAAAGCAAAGTCTCCATTAAAAAAAATAGGTTGAAGGAATTTATGATCACTAAGCCAGCTCTACTGAAGACACTTGAAGAAATTATTTTTTAAGCGTAAGAGAAAGACAAACACATCTATGGTGTTGCAGGGAAGAATGAACCACCCTTGGATAACAGTTAAGCAAGAAAGGAATAGAAAAACACCAAACAATACAAAGACAATACGATGATAGGGAATCATATACCCCTTTCCATTATGCTAAGTATGAATGGTTTCAATTCTCCAGTCAAAAAACAAAAACCTGGGCCTGGAAGGTGGCTTTGTGGGTAAAGTGAAGTTGAACAGAGATCCCTAGAACCCTTTTAAAATCCATGCACACTAGTATAGTGTGACTATAACCCCACCCCTGGGGCAGAGAGAGAAAAGACCTCAGCGGCTCACTGGCCAATCCAATCAATTGGCTGTTTACTTTGCTGCTCGGAAACTTCTAAATTTCATAAAGTGCTGTTCTTCCAGCAAGAGATGCTATTTCGAAAACTAAAGCGTAGACATGATGGAGGAAAAGTAATCCCTTATCAGCCTCGGGCCTGCTTTGTGTCATGAGTTAGTCTCAGCCCTTACACAAGGACCTTGCCAGGGGCACTCAGTCTACTGTCAACTCCTTGTTCAGCTGGCAACTCCATGCTATTGTTCACATGGTGTCTGAACAGTGGGGGGTGTGAGAGCACAGTTAAGGAGGGAACAGGAAGTAGGAAATGGGGGGGCAGAGGAGGCCTTGGGTCCTGCCAGCACAGGAAATAAACTCAGAACATGCCTACCAGATCACTCTGATCCTTTATAATCTCAAATCTCACAGAATCTGTGAGTGTCACCAGCCTTGGAAAGGACTGACTTCCCTCCGTCCTGGCCACAGGTAGGGGATGGTACAGAGGCAGGGTGTGGAAGCATTAGGATCCTCCATGCTGACCTAGTGGGTTTACATTCAGATGTGCAAAAGCCAGGAGCCATCATGCTGCAAGCAGTGAGTAGGGTCATGGGGACAAAGCAAATACAAAAGCTGTTGTGGAACATGGAAGGTCAGACAGAGAGGAATATTAGCTCTGAAGAGTCAAGCCGAGTTCACAGAGGGCAGTGGAGCCCCTGTGGTGGGCAGAGCATTATTCTTCCCTAGGACTGAGTCAAAAAGGAAGTAGGCATTCATCCAAAGTAGCATCCAAAGCCATTAGAATCAGGGTGAAGCGGTCCCTGAAGGACAAAGAGTCTACTTTCCCCTCAAGTCACATCCTTGCCCACATCAGTCAGCTATGCTGCTACTCTCCAAGCCAAGCCAGACCCACGCTGCTTGCACACAGCCCAGCACTGCACTTGGAAAGCTGTTTTTCCTGTTTGTTTGTATAATTGCTTGGTTCTCATTGATTTCATCAGAACATCTTGACAACAGCAACACTGCACCTTCAACCAAGCTCAGGAAAGACTCTGGTTGGCTTTTCAAGATGTGTCTTCCCAATGCTTGAGCTCATGTTTTTGTCATCTTTCATCTATGTGGCCTCTAAATCAGCTCTTTAACTCTCTCACCTACCATTGTCACTCATATGTGACACCCGCCTTTCATTGCTCTCATGGGTTTGAGTCTCAAACGTTCCCGCAGACTCATGATTCAACACTTGACTTTAGTCTGGTGGCAGTATTTTAGGGGATTGTGGTACCTTGAGGAGATGGGGGAAGTAAGTACTTGAGAGAAGTAAGCCACTGGTGCCGGCCCTTTGAAGGACTGAGCCTGGCCCATATCTCTAGATATTCTCTACTCTCTTGTATGCAATGAGAAGG